CCCCTCCCCGCCCCCCCAGCCTCGCAGCCCCCGAGCCGGTTCTCTACCATTTTACACTATAACAAAAACCCGAGAAGAGCAACGCGGCGGCCGCAAATGCAAGTTCACGCTCAGAGTTCAAGTCCGAAGCAGAGCACGGCAGCTCTTTATTGAAAGCAAAATGACTACCTTCTCCCTTCGTGGGACAGAGAAAGCTCAGCCCGGGGATACCCCCCTCCCCCTCCTTCCTCCCGCGAGGCTGCCGAAAATGACTGGGTTCCCCTTTTCGCCGCTGAGCCAGCCCAGGTCGACAGAGACAGCTAGTCTTTAGGGAACGGAAGGAGTTAATCGCGGCTTCTTTTAAATGCATATAAGCCCATCGGAGCCCCTGACCGTGGGGAGAAGTAGTGCCTGCTGGTCTAGCCAGAGACTTGTTAGGAGCCTGCCCCCCGCACCTCCCACCCCAAGGAAATAAATCGGGAAAGAGGGGGAAAAAAGAGACACAAGGAAAAATAAATAGAATTAACATATATTTTCGGAAGGGTCCAAAATACGTACAAATCCCGTTTTATGCCTTCGCAATCACGTGTATATTGATATCATAAAAGAGAAATCCTCCGGCAGGCTTTTGCTCTAAATACCTTACTCATTGAAACTGGCAGTTCCAGCTCATTATTCCACTCCCTTAAACCCGATTCTGATGCTGGCTAAATATAGAGCTTCGCCTTCATGGCAACGCGAATCGAATACACAGCAAGCAAATCAGTAGCACAGGAGGGGAAAACAAGAGGGTTGATCAAAGACCTCCTTTCCTTCCCAATCCTGGTTTGTCGGGGCGGAGACAGGTTTCTCGCTTATTGCACATCATTTACAAAGATCGAGCTTAAAATGCAATCACCTCTGCCAGAAGTATGAAGAAGTGGGGGTTGAGAGTGTAACAGAATTAAAACCAGATCGACTTTATTTGTAAACAATGGTGTTGCAATGGAAAGCACGAGTTGCCTTTCAGAGCTGGGCTCCCGAGTGCGGTCTTAGTCCAGCTCGGTCCGGACTAGCAAGGATGGGGCCATCTGTGGGGGAAGAAATCTTGGGACTGGACCCGAAAATACCCGCCTTAACCAAAGCGCTTATAACTCCGCAACAGTGTTGTATGTCTGCAATAAAGATCGGGAGAATTTTTAAAGTGACACATATTTCTAGCCTTTCCCAGGTTTTTAGCACGCAGGAAGTTCATGAATACACCCCCCTCCAAAGCGGTGATTTTGACCCTATGGAGAAATACAACAAAGGTCAAAAAATGTGCCTGTGCTTGTGACATTTGGGGGCTGAATTCCTCCTTTCAACCACAAGAGGTCGCTACTGCGACCGAGTATTAAAAAATATTACCTAAACTCGAAACTGTTAATTGCTGCTTGATTTATTCTACTACCACATTTTAAAGCTTTATTTTTGTTTTGCTTTACATACCTAGGGGTGGAAATGCGAGAAGCACAGAGCTAGAGATGACTGTGAGCAGGAGAATCAATCCGGGATGGGGGGAGGAGGGGAAGGATTGAGCATAAAGCTTATCGGATCAAGGTGTTAACATTTTTATTATGATTTTACACTTCTTTTACGTTCAGGAGGCGTGCAGCGGCTTGAGAATCTGTTTCCCAGAGAGCAGACTCTTGCAAACACTGAGGCTGGGGCTGGCTGTCCCTATCCGGAGCTGTCCGTAGGGTGTCCATGCATCTCTACCAGTCAGTTATGGAATGTCTCCTGCCAGGTTTCAAAACTGGATCATTAGGGAGTCTGTGTTTACAGGTCGTGCGTGGGTTGACAACAGGAGATAACATTGTTTCAGTCTAGTGTAGTGAAATTGCCCATTACTAAAGGTTTACCCCTGCCACATGCCAGCTTGTCTTTCGGAATTGCCCTCATCAGCGATAATTCTTGGTAATTGCTTATTGGTTTACAGAGCTAAAACAGCGCAAAGTGAGAGGAGGAAGAAAAATCTCGCGAGTTTCAAGAAGTACAATGAATGCCTGTTAGTTGCAGCTCCCGTGTCTTTGCATGCTGAATCCCTGAGGCGTGTGTGTTGGCAACACCGCCTTTGCCTTCTGACATGATCCTGAGACAATTTCACGGCAGCCGGGGAAGTTGTCTTTGCAGGAATGTTCCTCTTTTTATTCCAAATATGCATTCACCTCCGACCACTTTCAGACTAAGGATTCGGAAAAGATCTTGTGTTTGGTAGGAACATCCTCATCGCATTTAAGTTTAATAAGTCTGGGGGCTATTTCAGAGTAAGGCGATTTCCACGTGTGCACGGACAGACACACATTTTCCAATTACCCCTTTCTCTCTTACTCGAGCCTCTGTCTTGTCGGTTTTCTGTCATAAGCAGGACTTTGAAAACATTTTCCTGATCAATACTATTTGAAAATCCTTTTTTTAGAAGGCACTCGGGTGTTTATGGTGAGATGAGCTCATATAAAAGAGGACAGAAACACGGATTAGAGGGAAACATTGTATGCCATACTGCTTCTTTTGGGATCCCAGCGTTATAACGGTTTGAGGAGGAGACGGATTCTCATGCAAAACAGACGAGCCAGTGATCAAAGCCTGGACTCTGGAAATACACAAAGTAGCAGGCATCTTACAATATAAAGCAGAATTGTGTCTGACTGGGTTTGAAAGCTTTTAAACGAGCGGCAGTCAGAGTATTAAGCTAATAGCTCCTTAAGTCACTTCAGTTGCCTGAGAAAGGCAATGAGTGGAGGTCCGGGTGTACCTGTCTACAGACGTGCATAACCGGGGGATCACAAACAACGCCATGGGGGACCTTCTGAAAAGTATTCCTGAGATCCTAGTTCCCTGGAATAAATTAAAGGAACTCCCCATATTTCTCAGATTTAGATCTGCCATGTCACCTCCACAACTTACTTGTGAATCCAAACACAGGAGAGACGTACTTTTTTTTAATCATCAGTTTTAAAATGTACTATAGAGAAAGACAGGCGTTCTCGGCTCTGCTGCTTGTGAGCATGCATTCTGGTTCAACCCGAGACCATGTCTACAAGCATGGGCTGAATTTTTAAATGTTTAAGCAGAGACGACCTAAAAAGGGGATTTGAAAAGACAGTAGTAGTAGAAAGGAAGGGGGCTGACAGACCACGTCCGGTAAATATCTGCATCTTCTTGGAACTTGCGATTAATCCGGGGAGATTTTTTATTCGCAGTTTTAAGGGGTGGGTGGGCAGAGGCAATTACAGCTTGGTTCTGTAGCTGAATACAGTTAGCATTTCTTTTCAGTCCTCGGAACAGAGTTAGGTCTGTCTAATCAAGCTGGGACAGTTTAAGGTAGAAAAGGTAGCTGCCAGGAAGGAAAATAGCTGGATTTAAAAATCCCCCCTCAAAGATGGCATTAGAAACACGGCATTGCAAACAGGCACCCCGCCTCCCCACCCTTGGGGGGGGGGGTACGGCAAGCGCCCGGAAGACACGGAGCGAATGCAAGGTGCGCTGGGAGATGAGAAGGAGCAATGCAGAGGGGCGCCAAGCCCCAAGCAGAAAGGGAAATACAAATGAGGAGTCAAAAGAAAAAGAAAAAAAGTTCCCTCTGCATCCGCGAGCCGCGCGGCAGGGCTTGCTGGGCTCGGCAGCCTGAAATATGATAATCAGAACAGCTGCTCCGTGCTGCGGCCGGCCAATCAGCGCCCCGCAGGCTTGACGTCCCCGCGCCGTGCGTCAGACCAATGGAGATCGAGCTGAGTTGGAGCAGAGAAGTTTGAGTAAGAGATAAGGAAGAGCGGGTGCCCGCTCCGCGCGGAGTCCGGGCTGCGGCGGCTCCTGCACTCGCCCCACGCGGGCACCGGGACTGCTCCGCCGCGCCACGGACTGCCCCGCGCCAGCGCCGCGGCCCCGGCCTCGCAGCCTCTTTTGCTAGAGTTGTGGTTTTTTTTTCTTTTCCTCCTTGTTTTTTTTTTTTTAATTTGATTTTAGCGACAGCTTTGCCAGTCTCCTTTGGGGTCTTAACACGCAAGCGTACACCATTTCACTGTGGACATTACACCCTCTTACAGATATGGGAGACATGGGAGACCCACCAAAAAGTAAGGCGGAATTTTGAAAGCGTTGTTGGAATACATTGTGCTGTCTATTGTCATGGTGTCAGGCAGGGAGCTGATCATCTCAACTTCAGGCGATCGCTAGAGAAGTGCCTTTGTTGCCGTGCCTGCATGCTTTGCTGTGTTTGAACCTCGTAGCTGTGTCTTTCCATAGCCTCGTGCCCTGCTTTCTGCATAAACTTCGGGGAGGAGGCAGGTTGATCTCTCTTTTTTTTTTTTTTTTTTTTTTTTGAGCAGCGTCTCCAGCCAGGGGAGGCTTAGCTTGGCTCGGTGTTTAGCCTGTCTTGAATATCCAGCACCTAAGTCTCCGCAGGCGAACGAGCATCAGGCTTGCACAAGAGAGCAAGTGCCCGTGTAACGATGCCTGTTCTCGAGTCCCGCGGCAGAGGGTTTAAAGGGAGGCAGAGCCATGCACGCCTTCAGCTCGCAGCCTTTCCAATCCAGCCCTTCCTTGGCGAAGCAAACGGTAGACATGCAGAGATGCAAAGAGCTGCAGCACTGGCCCCAGTTAAGAGGGAAATAATCATAATAAAACCAACAGCAGGAAGAAAAAAAAAGCCCAGCTCGGCAGCTCGAAGTTTAGCTGCAGTACGAGGCTTGCAAAAAAGGAGGGGAAAAACAGAAAAGAAAAAAGAAAGATAAAAATAAGCCACCTTGAAAACAAAACTACTCCGCTATGGATCTGAACACCCGTTCCGCCTCCTTCCTAAGTGAGGCACGGTGTGATGGCACACTTCAGTTACCATCCCAAAATGCGAGACTCAACACACACAGACACACAGACACACACACACGCTCCCGAGCAACGCCGTAGAAGGGAACGGCACTAAAAGTGTGTTTATCTCTGTAGGAGAGTAAACGCTTCGTCAATCATGTATTTATTTTCATTTCAGAAAAACGTCTGATTTCCCTATGTGTTGGTTGCGGCAATCAAATTCACGATCAGTATATTCTGAGGGTTTCTCCGGATTTGGAATGGCATGCGGCGTGTTTGAAGTGTGCAGAGTGTAATCAGTATTTGGACGAGACCTGTACGTGCTTTGTTAGGGATGGCAAAACCTACTGTAAAAGAGATTATATCAGGTACGCCATTTACGTTGTTTAATTATTCGCTTCGATTTGACGATCGAAAGAGCAGAGGGCCAGTTGCTTTAAGTTATTTTCCCCCAAGGTGCAAGGGAGGGGGGGAAAAAGTTGCAGTCGAGTTTCTTCCAGCCATTATTTTTATGACTGTTATTTCAAGAAAAAATCGCATTTGCCCACAGCGAGGACCTCGTGTGCAATTCTCCTGCATCAAGACATAGCTTGCTGCGTTGAGTGTTGTGACCCTAACAAAGCAGGGGAGCTTCTAGTGACAGAAAAAACAAAAAAAGTGTATGTCTTAAATAGTGTAGGAGCAGCACAGATCGCTTTTAAACATTTACCTCAGAAATGCAGCTCAGTGAGGGTTTGCAGAAGTCTCCAGCAAGGAAAGGGACACGAGGAATTAAAGACACTTCAAACATGTGTGCACTAAAAAAAATAAAATAAACCGATTTATGCCAGGCCAAGGGTTTTATTTTATTGTACTGTATTTTATTTTTAAAATAAGGCGAGGTTCTGTTCAGTTCTGAAGGCGGGATCCCTTTATTTGAGAGGTTAAACGCTAGACTAAAACGTTTCTTTGCTAAAATAACTGACATTTAATCT